AAAAAAAAAAAAAAAAACCCACAGAATATACGACACAAAGAGTGTAAACTATGAACTGTAGTTAATCACAATGTTTAGATCTTGGCACATCAGTTGTAACAAATGTACCACACTAACACAAGAGGTTAATAACAGGAGAAACTGGGAGGGAGGGTGAAGGATATATGGGGAGGGAGGGTGAAGGATATATGGGAATCCTCTGTGCCTTCTGTTCATTTTTTCTGTAAACATAAAGTGGCTCGATTAATTTCAAAACAGAAAAAGAAGAAAAGAAAGGAAAAGTGAGTGGGATGCCAGTGGAGAAGAGTTCTGAACAGCATATAAATCAGCCTGGACTCTCCCCCAGTAAACAAAACCCAGCAAGGGAGTGACAGAGCTGTGTTCTGGAAAGAAAATTTTGGTACCCTGCAGGGAGAAGAATCCAGAAGAAAGAGACCCAGACACCAACAAGGAGGTTACAGCAGAAAGGAGATGGGGTCAGTCTAAATGAGACGGGGGCAGTGTAGAGATAGGCACATGGGAAAGCAAGCAGTGGGACTGTCCCTGCGCATCCAGGGATGGGAGGGAAAATGCAGGTCAACTCTAGCATAAACTATGCGGCAGACAAGGGTGCTGTTAGAGCTACTGGGACAAATGAGCTGGGGGAAACGAACTTGGTTTTTGATTTATGAGGTTACCTATAGAATATGCATGTGGAAATGCATAGAGGCAGCTCAAAACACAGGTACAGAACTCAGAAAAGAGGTCAGAGCTGCCTTAGAGACAAATTATGGGATATAGGGAAGAGCTGAGTCATTCTTCATGTGGGCCCCTCAATGTGGTCTCTATATGTGGGCTAGTTTGGGTTCCTCCCAGCATGATGATGGATGGTTCTTAGGTCTAAAGGGGAGAGAGAGGGAGAAGAAGAGGGAGAGGGAGAGGGAAAGCAGGAAGGGCAGGGGGAGGGGGAGAGAGACGGAGAAAGAGATACAGACAGAGAGAGAGAGAGAGAGAGAGAGAGACAGAAAGAGACAGAGAGATGGAGAGGGGAAAGAGAGACAGAGACAGAGAGAGATACAGAGAAAGGGAGAAAGAGAGACACAGAGAGAGAGACAGAAAGAGAGGGAGAGACAGAGAAAGAGAGAGAGACAGGAGGGAGAGAGAGAAACAAAGAGAAAATGAGAAGTGGAAGCTGTATCCTTCTGTGACCTAGCCCTGGAAGTCACACAGCATCACTTCCACCCTCACCAGTCACAGCAATCACACACCCTCACTGAGATTCATGGTGGGCATGAAGGGCGTAGGCCTCACCTTTCCCTCTCCGTGGAGGAGTGCCCTTCACATTGTAAGAAGTGCATGTAGGATGGGATTTGGTGCAGTTGCCTTTGGGAATTTAAATCCACCCACATGAAAAAGTATTAGTTCAATGTGTATGTCTCTCAGGGAAAAAAGAATAGACATATTTAGGGAAGATAGATAGGGAAGGTCAATAACAATTCCAAACCAGCAAACTTCATCCATACGGAGTCTACTTTATTCCAGGAAAAGCAATAAATACTCAGACCCAAATAACCCAGATATTACTCATTGATGAATACCCATTTAAAACCTAGCATGGGCTGGGCTTGGTGGCTCAGCCTGTAAAGGCGAGTGGATTGCCTAAGGCCACAGGTTCGAGACCTGCCCAGGCAACTTGGTGAGACCCCCTCTCTACAATACATCAAAAATTAGCCGAGCGTGGTAGCACGTGCCTGTAGTTCCGGCTACTTGGAAGGCTGAGGCAGAAGGATCACCGGAGCCCAGCAGGTCGACACTGGGGTGGCTGTGAGCATGCCAGTTTACTCCAGCCTGGGCGACGGAGTGAGACTCAAACTCAAAAAAAAAAAAACCTAGCATGCTCACCAGAGAACCTAGTGCTCTTCTTCACCTATGCAAAAGGAAAGTCCCACTAAAAGTTTAGGGGCTTGTGTGACGTTAGTGGCTCAGTGAGAGCTAAGTAATTCTGGTGAAAGTCCTGTGGGAGACAGTCATCCACTGCCCCATCTACAGACAGCCCATGGCAAGTCATGCTCAACTCTGCCTGTTCACTTCAGTGCCTTTGTTAATTCATCTAAAATAAGCAGCTCCTCATAGAGTTTTGTTGGTGCTGGTTAGTGCTTTTAAAAGATTGAAACAGAACCAGTGATTTACAAGTCAAATAAGAAAATAAAATACACATTGATGAATACCCATCTAAAAACCCAGTATGAACACTTGGCAAACCATACAACACCGAAGAGTAGAGTTTATGTCAATGAAAAGAGCTTGCTCATTTACCAGCCCCCATCTTTTCTTCCAAATTATTCATCCTTTAAGAAACTACAACTTAAATACACAAACATTTAAATAAATATACCATAACCAAGAAGGTTATTCCATGAATGCAAAGATGGTCCAAATTACCACGTAAATATAAAGAAAAATTAGATGATTATCTTCATAATCACTAAAAACATCTTCAACAAAATTAATACCTATTCCTGAGTTGTTGCTTTTTAAAATTCTCAAAATAGGAATTAATACACTTTTGTTTTAGGATCTCACTATGTTGCACAGGCTGGCCTCAAATTCCTGGCCTCAAGCAATCCCCTTACCTTAGTCTGCCAAGTAGCTGTGTCAATAGGTGTATGTCACCATACCTGGCTTATGTATCCCTTTTTTTTTGCGGGGGGGGGTTGGAGTCTCACTCTGTAACCCAGGCTGGAGTGCAGTGGCCTGCTCATGGCTATCACAATCTCTATCTGCTGGGCTCAGACTATCCTTCTGCCTCAGTCTTCCAAGTAACTGGAACTACAGGCACACGCTATAATGCCTGGCTAATTTTTTGATTTATTGTAGAGACGAGGTCTCACCAAGCTGCCCAAGCTGGTCTTGAACCCCTGAGCTCAGGCAGTTCTCCCACCTCGGCCTTTCAAAGTGTTGGGATTACAGGCTTGAGCCACCATGCCCAGCTATGTATCCTTTTTAATTTCCTTTTTTTTTTTTTTGAGTTGGAGTCTCACTCTGTCGCCCAGACTGGAGTGCAGTGGCACACTTCCCGCCACCGCAGCCTCAACCTGTTGGGCTCCGGCGATCCTTCTGCCTTAGCCTTCCTAGTAGCCGAAACTACAGGCGCGCGCTACCACGCCCAGCTAGTTTTTGATTTATTGTAGAAAGGAGGTCTCGCCAAGTTGCCGGGGCGGGTCATGAACCCGCGGGCTCAGGCAATCCTCTCGCCTTGGCCTCTCAAAGTGCTGGGATTACAGGCTGAGCCACCGAGCCCAGCCTATGTATCCTTTTTAACATGATAAAACTATATAAATCTCAGTCCCGAAGCCAGCATCTTATTTAATGGGAAGCACTAGAGGTAGCCCCAGTCAGGTCAGACACAAAGGCAAAGACACCCACTATCTTCACTACTATTTAACATGAAATCCAAGACATAAGCCAAAGCAATCAGACAAGAAAATAATTAGAGATGTAAGAAGATTCAAACAATCTCTATTTGCAGGTTATATAGCAATATACCTGGAATCCCCAAGAGAATCAATGATAAAAACTGACACAACCAATAAATTAACTTGGCAAAATAGCATGAATGTAAAATTAACATAAATAGCCATCATGAAAGTCTGGCAACACACTCCTAGAGTATGGAGAAACAGGCATTGTCATACAGTGCTGATGGGAATGCAAGATGATACACCACCTATGGAAGGAAATTCAACAATATTTAGTAAAATTACTTTATGACCCAGCAATCTCATTTTTAGGCATCTATCCCAAAGAAATATTGACAAAATAGTCTTTTAAAAGCATTCAAAATAGGAATTGATGGACAATTTTTAACATGATAAAAATATATAAACTGAGACCAGTCACTGACAGATGCATAAAACTATTACCCAATTCAGCACTATTTGAAACCGCAAAATACTGGGAAATAACTCAAATGACCAGCAGCAATATGGAACAGATTAAACTATGGTACTTCCTAGAATGATACATTATACAATTCTCAATGAAGAATACCCATATGTACTGTATGGAGTGATCTCCAAGATATGCTTTTAGTTAAAAAATGCAAAGTTGAGAAAAATATATATGGCATGCCACTGTTAATCTAAGAAAAAGAGAAAAGGTACCAGGATGAATATGCACGTGTGTGTAACTTATTACATATACTATATGTGTGCAATTTTTTAAATGGAAGGATAAAACAAAATCTTCCAAAATCTGATTACCTGTAGGGGAAAAGGAAATGATGTCAAGGAGACAAGGATAGAAACTAGACTTCTATGAATAGATCTTGTTGTGTAGATATGGCTTTGGATCGATGAAAATATTTTACTTAATTATAAAACAAGGGTCACAGCAGTGAACATAAACCCTGTTTTTACAGCTATTAGCAAACCGGAATGAAAACAGAAATCAGCAGAACCGACATGGTACTTCTAACAAGTGAGCAGCCTTCTGAGAAAGAAGTTATGATGTGCTGGTGGCCAAACAAGAGAAACAGTAAGGTGACTCGAGCCATGCATGACTTACCTCCACCTTGCTCTCAGATTCGTGATTGGCAGCTGAGAAATACACAACCTCCTGCACTTCATCTCTGGGCCGGGCTGAATTTTTCCCAAATACCACCAGACCATCCTTAGCACGAGGTGGGAAGGCCACAAAACAGCAACTCGGAGGAGCCGCAGCCATCCTGAAAGGAGAATACCAGCGAGAGAATGGAAGCAGCCCTCCTGTGGAACATTCCAACAGTGAGTTCTTCAAACATATTCCCCAGTTCAAATCGTTTTACTATTGAACTGTGTTCCAGCTAGCTCACTATGAGATCCCAGCTGGCAAATGAAGGTGGGGTGCCTGGAGTAGAATGACAGAGCCACCGAGACCAGATATTGTTTAGTACTCCGTGGGATTAAATGAGCTCTGATTTGCAACAAACCACAGTGGCAGCCAAAAGTGCAGTGGCGTGGGAGAAAGGAAAGGAGGTTATTGCTCTAGGCAGAAGACACACAGACAGACACACACACACACACACACACACACACACACACACACACAAACACATACACACACACCTGTCACAGTAATAAAAGAATGAATATAAATATATTTACCTTATTACAATGACTACACAAGTGCCTCAGATCTAGAGACACAAGGCTACCATATAACAGATTTGGGGATATGATGGAGAAACAGATCCAAAGATAAAATGGAAGATGCCACCCTTTGTTTTTCAAAAGTTTCACTCCACTTTGATGTCATAACACTCAAGCACCTTTTGGCTTTCTGCCTCTCCAGCTGCTACTGGTATGGCTTGCTCTTTCCCATCTGGCCAAGGCACATCCTCACTGCTTGATCCTTCTTTCCTCATTTAATGCTCTTTTCTCTCTGGGAAAACTCATCCATGCCTAGGGCTTCCCTTGTCTGTTATGTATCAATGACCTACACATTTATTTCCAGCTCGTTCTCACCTTAAGCCTCTGATCCACAAAACCAACTGCCTGTTTGCTATCCAAAGGTGATTTCATCATCTTCTTCTCCTTCTAAGGTTGCTCGCCTCAGTGGCTAGCCCCACTGTTCATCCCATTGGAGTATCTGGAATTCAGGGCCATCCTTGCCATCTGCTTCTCATCACCTAACATGACATCATGGCCTGTAGCTTCCATCTCCTAAATCTCTATGGAAACTGTCCACTTCCCTCCATCTCCACTGCCACCACTGTGCACCAAGCCACCAACAACTCTAACCTGAATGACTGCAGTGGCACCCTAAGAGGTTGTTCCTAAAACTCTATCATTCCCCCTCCAAAACATTCTCCACATTGCAGCCAAAGTGATCTTTTTATTTATTTTATTTATTTTAAAGATGTGGGGTACAATTCAGGAGTAGGTATACAGATGGTCATTGTGTAGGTAAAGTTTGGGCCTCACTTTGGTCCCCACTTCACCTGGTTTGAGATCAAGTATCCTTATTGATATGGTATGCCCCTTCCCCCTCCCCTGGCAGCTTCCCACTACTGCCAATTCTTTTCTTATATTATTATGATAATTGTTCAAGGCCCACTATGAGTAAGAACATGTGGTACTCAGTTCTTTGTTTCTGTGATAGATCACTCAATATTATAGACCCTAAGTCCACTCAAGTTGCTATAAAGTTCGTAATTTTGTCCTTCTTTATAGTTGCATAATATTCCATTGTGTATATGTACCACATTTTTTTATCCAGTCCTCTGCAATGGGCAGTACAGTTGGCTCCATATTTTTGCTATTGTGAATAATGAAGGTTTGATCATTTCATCCCTGTTCAAAATACTACAGAGGTTGGTCAGGCTCAGCGGCTCAGCCTGTAATCCCAGCACTTTGGGAGGCCGAGGTGAGTGGATTGCCTGAGTCCACGGGTTTGAGACCAGCCCAGGAAACTCGGCGAGACCTTGTCTCTACAATCAATCAAAAATTAGCTGGGCATGGTCGAGCACATCCGTAGTTCCAGCTACTTGGAAGGGTGAGGTGGAAGGATCGCCGGAGCCCAGCAGGTAGATGCTGGAGTGGCTGTAAGTATGCCACTATCCTCCAGTCTGAGCAATGGAGTGAGATTCCAACTCAAAAATAAAAAATAAAATACTATAGAGGTTTTCCATGGGGCTCTTGCACACAGGCCTTCTTCTAGTTCCTCCAATACCCCCCAGAACCTTTGCACATGCACATCCACCCTTTTTCTTGAGCACTCCTTTCTGTGTCCCCTACACCAAAACCATTTGCCTAGTTAGCTCTTCCACATACTAGCTCAAATGTCACTCTAATTTGTGTCACTGTACTATATGATCATAGAATCCAGCCCTTTTCCTTTAGAGTAACAATAACAACCCAGTACATTTGTGTAGTTATTTTATTACCAACAATCAATATTTCATCTCTCCTCCTGAAATCTAAGCAATATGAAAGCAGGAACCATGTCTCTTTTGCACACCATTCTAACCCCAGTTGTACACAATGCCTTATGCAGGCTAGACTTTCCATAATCAATGAGCAAGTGCTCTTTTCTTGTTTCTTGACATTTCACCAAGCTGAAGTTGACTCTCTACAACTCTCTTTCTACCACTGTGCCTCTGCACAGGCTGAAATGACCTTCCCTTCACCCTGGTACATATCTTTAGGATCTGATTCAGAGCCCCTTTTACTCTATCACCCAGACTGGAGTGCAGTGGCTCACTCCCGGCGACCGCAGGCTCGACCTGCTGGGCTCCAGCAATCCTTCCGCCTCAGCCTTCCAAGCAGCTGGAACTACAGGCGTACACTACCACGCCCGGCTAATTTTTTCATTTTATTGTAGAGATGAGGTCTCGCCAAGTTGCCCAGGCAGGTCTCGAACCCGTGGGCTCAGACAATCCACTCACCTTAGCCTCCCAAAGTGCTGTTATTGTAGAGATGAGGTCTCGCCAAGTTGCCCAGGCAGGTCTCAAACCCGTGGGCTCAGACAATCCACTCACCTTAGCCTCCCAAAGTGCTGTTATTATAGAGATGAGGTCTCGCCAAGTTGCCCAGGCAGGTCTCGAACCCGTGGGCTCAGACAATCCACTCACCTTAGCCTCCCAAAGTGCTGGGATTACAGGCTAAGCCACCGAGCCCGGCTTAGAGACACTTCTATAGGGACTATAAAGGACTGTCATTTACCCAGTATCACAAGCACAGCACAGGGCAACTAGTTTATTCTATAATAATATACAGGGAAGGAGGGAGAAGGAATGAGGGACAAGAAACCACCCATTGGGCACCATGCCCACTCTGGATGGGGGAAGGAATCATCTTAAATGCAAACCTCACCTACATTCAATATATTTATGCAACAAATCTTCACATGTACCCCACGATTCTAAAATAAAGAAAGAATCAGACAATCTGTTAAAAAATAATGAAGTAAAATAAAATGATGTGCATTTTTTGCTTGTAAATATATTTATTTTCCTGTTTCAAAGACTGCCCCCTGAGGGCAAGACTCATGCCATCCAACTATAGTAGCCAAACCTTGGCATGCTAGACTCTCAAGAAGCATTATCTTTTGCACCAACTATTGTGTTTGTATCATCAATTATCCAACTTCAATGTGTTTTATGAGTCCAAAATATAAGCAAGAAGTAAAGCAACTCTCTCAGAAAAGCACTAAACTGGGATTCAAAACTCAGTTCCATCACTTAGTAGTAGTGTGACATTGGGTAAGTCACTTTACCTCTGAGCCTTGGTGTCCTCTTCTGCAAATATTTTGACCCAGCCCATAGGTTTATCATGAGTGTCAAACAAAACGATACTTGAGAGCATATTTTGCAATATGTGGAGGCTCCACAAGCATAAGATACTTTATTTGGGTTTTGACTGTTGTTAAAACAGAGCAGTACCTAAAAATTTCTGTTAAGTGAGCCAATGAAAATCAACCTTCCTCTTTCCTAACTAGAGCAATTAACAAACCACAGAGTCAGCAATATTCTATGTTTGGAAACATCTTTGTGAGGGACCATATTTGCTATGTCCATATCTAGGCTATTTCAGAGTAGTCTTTACATCCATACCCTGAGCTGTTAGAGTTCTATCCTGCATTGCTGATGGCAGACCAATCCCTGGGGTGCAGAGGAATGGGGGAGCTCCCACTACTATGAAAATAATTCCCTCCCAGCTCAGTAAAATGTTGCCCCTCCCCTCTGTGAGAAAGAAAAGTCAGAAAGATAATGAAGTTTGAGTTCTTTCTCCCCTTAACCTTTTTCCCATTTTCATAAAACAGCTCTATCTTCAGACTTGAGGGCAGAGAGAGACAAACAAAGAATCTGTATGTGCAAGAAAGATCCAGAATAATTATAAGATAAAAAGGTTTTATCGAGGATTTCTACAATTTGAGCGTGGGAGGAATTGCTGGTCAAGGCTAACAGAATGAAGTAGACCCAGAAGAAGATAAGACAGGGAAAGGAAGCACTTCCCTTGTGTGTAGGTTAAGTATGTTATATGGCTTTTCTTCCTCCCTGATCGTTAAGCCATTTCAAAAGAGCTGGTGTCTCATCTAGGAGCAGAACCTTACTTACTTGATTCTTAAAAATGGTAGGAATCTGGCCAGGCACGGTGACTTAAGCCTGTAATCCCAGCACTTTGGGAGGCCAAGGTGAGAGGATTGCCTGAGTCCAGAGGTTAGAAACCAGTCTGGGCAACTTGGTGAGACCTCGTCTCTAAAATATATCAAAAAATTAGCCAGTAGTGGTAGAGCATGCCTGTAGCTCTGGCTACTTGGAAGGCTGTGGCAGAAGGATTGCCTGAGCCCAGCAGGTCGACCCTGGGGTGACCCTGAGCATGTCACTGCACTCCAGCCTGGGTAATAGAATGAGACGCTGACTCAAAAAAAAAAAAAAAAAGTTAGGAATCTACTAGTCTTGCATTTACAAGATTTAAATGTAGAAAATAAGAAAAACCCATGGAGTTTTTGACAAGCACCCATTCTTCAGTCAGGGCATCTGCCTGGTCAGCAAGTCATTTGAGTCGCTTGACTACAATGAGGTATCTAGGCAACAGAAGCCCAAGGGTATGTGGGCCCATGAAAGCTGACTTTTCTGCTGAATTTTGTGAATGACTGAGAATGCCAGCAGGGAGCAGAATTCCAATGTCTACTTAAAAAATTAAAAACCTAGATGAATCAGCAAGCTGTGTATCACAACTGGAAACAAACTAGCCCAGGCGAATTGTCCATTTATTTTTACCTGAGTCACCATTCTAGCCTCAGAGATGACTTAGCTGGATTCTTTTCAACTCTCTAAATCAGTGCTATCCAAAAGGAGGTTCTACGATGACAGAAATGTCCAATATGGTGACCAATAGCCTCATACAGCTATTGAAGTGTAGCTAGCAAGATTAAGAGACAGAACT